CATCCAAGTTTTGACAACCTTGAATAAAACTGCTGTAAACAGGCAATCATGAAACAACCTGCTGTGTACAGGTTTCTGTGTGGACATAGTTTTCAACTCCTGTGGATGAATTACAAGGAACACAGTTGCTGGATCACATGGTAAAGCATGTTTTGTTTGGTAAGAAACTGCCAAATATCTTCCAAGTGACTATCCTGTTTTACATTCCCACCAAGTAATAAATGAGAATTCCTAGCGCTCCACATCTTTGTCAGCACTTGGCTCATTTTTGTAGTGGCATCTTCTGCTAAGTGAAGTTTTAATTTTAGTAAAGTCCAATAAATCCACGTTTTGTCCACAGATCATGCTTTTGTTGTTGTATCTGTCCCCGTGTTGTCACCAATCTTTCCTGTGACCAGAGGGATGAATCAGAGTGTTGGCTTGTGGGGTTTGGAGGGCGGTCTAAATGGAAACAGCAGGAGTAAATGGCCCTCGAATTGTGCATATAGCAACAGGCTCCAATTCCTGAGACCATGTCTCAGTCAGTATGGCTGTCACATGTCTGTGTAACAAAACAGCCCCAGAATGCAAAGGCTTATAATAATAAGCATCTTTCTCTCTCACATGTCCCCAGGTCAGCTGGGTACAACTGGTCCAGGCTGAGCTCTGCAGATGGGGTCCAGGTCTGCTCCACTTGTCCCTCATCTTCCTTAGATTATGCTCTTTTCAGGGTTAAAGGCTAGAGGGAAGCCCAGCCCCATAAGCACATTACAAGTCTCTGCTTGCATCGCACCTGCTGATGCCCATTGGTTAAAGCAAGTCTCAGGGCCAAGCTCAAGATTAGTGGGACAGGGAAGTATATTCTTCCCACTGTATTATTATTACAAATCACAGGGATGAGTTTCCATCACAAGACCCTGGGCTTTGTTTTCTGACATCCCAAACTAGAAAGCAAGAGAGAAATTCAATTACCAGCTGGATAAGTTGAAATATGACTAGCTTTATTTTTTTTGAGTTGGAGTCTCACTCTGTCACCCAGACTGGAGTGCAGTGGCCGCTCCCGGCCACCGCAG